CATGCCAGCTTAGAGGATCACCATTAAACTGGGTAAGCTTTCATTCAGGTAATGGGCCTTTCCTGTTCATAGAAAAAATGGCGGCTAAGTCTTCGAGCGTTACATGGTTAGATTGCAAAAAAAGACGAGTCAGTGTGTCTGTTGAAACTGCTTGTACGAGTATGTAGCCTGGACTTTGAGCAGGCTGTTGGAAACCTGGCGGATTTTGTGGCATACTTTGAGGTGCAGTATAGTATACAGCGCCAACGCTTGTGAAGGGTGTAAAAGCGTTCATGTTATCCGGTCCGGCATTTTGCAGCATTCTTTTATTTTACGTACAATCCAAAAATTGACTAGCAACAGGCACGCAGTTTGAAATTCTAGGTTGGTAGTTGAATGCAAAGCAAGACGGTTGAGTGCTTGAAGGAATTTGAGAGTGAAGCATTTGGCTATTCATGTTATTGCAAATAAATGCATCCGATTTCATTAGGTAGTTCGAAGCAGCAGATGCTTTAATGCACATCGAGTGTCGAATGAAAGATGTACTTTGAGAAAAGACACTATTAGCTGCATTATTGGAGACGTACGTATAGGAAGACAGCGGAACATTTTGTAAACATGACGTCACAAACGCTGTAAAACAGGGAGCTACCGACGAACCGCTTTGTAAAGGAATAAAAACGCTAGGTGTTGCTGTTGTCATTCCGAAGAATGGCACGCTTTTTTCAGATGAAGCGCTAGCCATACCCGCAAAATTTGGATCAACTGAACTAACCAGAACTGTTGAATTGACCATCGAATGTCCAGTCCATCATTACAGCTTGGACTTATCAGAGTTTCATATTCAGTCTCCGCTACTGTATTGTCAACCCAATCAGCAGTTCGCTCACCGATCGCCCCTGATAATTGAATGACAAATGGTAATTCAGACTTGCGAGTATCGTGATCGCTTTCAATGATGTCATCTTGAAATTTAGTTTCTTTTATTTTGGCCTCGGCTAGCTTTTTCCTGTTCTCTTCAGCTAAATTTTCGAATTGAAGTCTACATTGTTCTCTACTGATCTGGTATTGCAGTTCCTGCTTTCAGTGATGTCATCTTGAAATTCAGTTTCTGCTATTTTGGCCTCGGCTAGCTTTTTCCTGTTCTCTTCAGCTAATTTTTTGATTTGAAGCCTACTTTGTTCTCTGCTGATCTGATATTGCAGTTCCTGATATTTTTGTTCCCTTAAAATTTAGCTCCGGTTCCCGTTCTTTCTCTTGACGATGAGCTTCCATTTTCCTATTCTCGCATTCTCTAGTCTGCCTTCCTCTTCTCTCAATCTCAAAGATGCCTCATTTTGTCTTTCTTTCTGCCCTCTTTGCAGCTTTGCAAGCAGAATCTCTTTCTTTCTTTAGCTGGGAGTCATTGAACTTGCCTTAGATCTTTTACTATGAAGACGACTAGATCGTAGAGGCGCAGCTTTTAGAGATCTTGCGGGGGCTGTTGATCGATAGAAGTTTGCTTCAGATTATCATCTGAAGACAGTTAATTAAAGTAAGACCTGGCCTGTTGGATTACTTGATCAGTTATACAGTTATCCGGTGTAAATAAGCTTCCAACTCACTTAAAAGTTTGCTTGAATATTGACAAGTTTTTGCTATTTTTGTCAAAGATTCATTCTTCGAGATCAACTTTTCAAATACAGCTTTGCACTTTTCTACCAGACTCTCAACTCTCACACTTCGCTTCTTAGCCTCTATTGCCTCTTTCAAAAAGCTATGATATTCTAACAACTCTTTTTCTAATGTTTCTCAATTTTTTTAAACATTTAAAATAAAACGAAAAACGTGGTCAACCTCTAAATTTGAAAATTGAAATTAACTATCAGATTACTCGGCAAAACGAACTCCAGTAACGTAAGGTTCCTAATTTATTTATTTATTTCTCAAATTGGGTGACTTTTATCAAAAAAAAGTGTCAATCATAAATTGCCTAAAAAATCGAAAATTTATAAGGCTATCTCTTTTTTGCTTGGAAGTTCAAAAGTTGAGACAAGAGAAACAGGTCAGGTTTTTTTTCAGCTTACTTGTGTTCATTGACTCTGGTCCAACTGTCCGTTGGCTGTTAATAGTTTATAAAGTTTCAAGGTAAATGCTTGGGTCTTTTCAAGCATTTCTGTATATTTTCAGAACTTGAACATTGCAACCATTAACTTCAACACATTTCAAGTAGCAGCCGTTAAATTGAGGTTTATATCTAGCCGCAGCAGAAAAAATCATTGTAATACCTTTTACTTGTTTTCTACTCCCACCTAGAATTTAGTCAAAAAGAAGTCTTTATCATTGTGAATTTGAGGAGCTCAGAAACACAATTTAATTGGCTTGAATTAGAAATGATCGAAAAACTTTAATATTTTATGGTGAACATCCAACCCTCCCTGAGAAAAAATCGTATGTCAGTCCCTGCCGTGCCACCTTCTGTTACCCCATCCATACACTTACCCTCTTACGTATTATTATCCCTCCCCCGATACACAATGACGCCCCATGCACATCAACCCGCATCCAGTTTCAAGCGTTAATTATCGATTATAATCTGATATGTTTCGGTATTTTTTTGTATCTTCAGAACCTGAACCTTGATTTCAGTACCAGTCTTCCTTAATTGAGAAAAAATTGATTCTAATCAATTAATAATCGATTATAATCTCTCTTTTGAAATAATATTTTGTCAGTTATAAAACGTTATCATTGATCATAATTAATTATTTTTATCCAAATTTTTAACTCATTTATTTTGCTATAAAAATCGATTTTAATCACTTATAATCGTTTATAATCCCTTTTGATTGCTATTTTGTCTTCAACCTTGGACCTGTACTGTTTATATATATTTTTATGCTTTTCGTAGACGTTGGTTTATGTAAAAATTGAGAAAATTGTTTTAACCGTTTTCAAATCAATTCAAACTCATATAGTTTTTGTTTTTTATTTCTTTTTGATTGTGATTTCTTGATGCACACTTTAAAAGTCTTTGACCACCAAATTATCAGCACACTGCTTTAGTTTCATAATTTATTTGGAAGAGTTATATTTCACCTACTGCGGGAAACTTTCATCTAATATGAAGGGATCTCTATAAAACTTTGTGTTCAGATGAACCAAAAAGTGACAAGACATCTCTTTTTTAGCGATTTTGACAAAGAAAAAGATTTTAATCTATTATAGGAGATTATGAGAAACTTTCGGAAAAATTATAATCAAATAAAATTAATAGTAATTTACAATTATAATGGATTATAAATCGTTTAAACATCTAAATTTGGTGCTCATGATTAATTATAATTTTGATAAAAGTATAATTGTAATTGTAATTTAATCGACCATTTTCTCTTTTTACTGAGTGCCGGTAAGTCCTCCGCCCCCTCATAAATTGGGGGCTAGTAGATTTAGAAATGGAGTAAGCTTTGAGTAAAGCTAAAAAACTGCACAATTTGCAGATAACTTGGTAAAAAAATTAAAACAGGCTATAGTTCCCTAAAATCCGTTACGATGGCTTTTAAATGAGTTATAATTGATGTGACTCATTTAAGAATAATTCAATACAATGGATTATAATCGATTGAGTGGTCCCTGAATGTAATTTTAGTCGAAAATAATAGCAATTTTTTTGGTTACGAAAATCGATTCTAACGTTATTATCTATAGAACTTCCGTGCGGGTCAGCGTCATAAATGAAATTTTCACAGCGCACAATTTCTAGTCCATCGCATAGTCAAGTTGGCAATTTTCAAACCCGCAAGGCTAAACAAAAATGATTGAAGGTAAAATATGAAGGTAAAACTTAGGTAATATGATTGAAGGTAAAATTAAGTTAATATCTCCAATGCGGGGTATGATGTTTTTGAATGAAAACTGATAGCCTGATTGGAAAACTTTGACCAAATAAAATGTTCTCCCCAAGCATAAATATGATGATTTTGAAAGTCGGAACAAAAAATTGTAATTTGGCCGCTCACAATAAAATGTAATTTGGCTGCCATTGGCTTACAAAAAATCGTAACTTGGCTACCATTGGCTTACAATAAACTGTATTTTGGCTAACATTGGCTTACAATAAATTGTATTTTGGCTACCATTGGCTTACAAAAAATCGTAACTTGGCTACCATTGACTTACAGTAAATTGTATTTTGGCTACCATGGGCTCATAATAAATCGTAATTTTGCTGCCATTGGCTTACAATAAATTGTATTTTGGCTACCATTGGCGTACAATAAATTGTAACTTGGCTACCATTGGCTTACAATAAATTGTATTTTGGCTACCAATGGCTTACAATAAATTGTATTTTGGCTACCATTGGCTTACAATAATTTGAAATTTGGCTTGCTTAAACAACGCGTGTAATTTCATCAATTAAAAAATATTCGAAACTCAAAAGCTTTTTAATTTTTGTAGTCTTGTTTTTGAAAATCAAAAGTTGAAATTGTTGATTTAAATCAGCAGTATTTTCCGATTCCCGTATCCATTTAACACCTGTCGTCTTTGGTAGTTTTGCTTTTTACGGGTTATTGAAGAGATCAATTTTTTTACTGATTCAGGTAACGTGGTTTTTTGTTTTGAGGAAAAAGTCTCAAAGTTTGCTCACACTAGGATTTGTAATTTAGCATTTTGATTTTTGCTTTGTTATGCTCACATTCTATGTCATTTGCTACTTTACAGGGTGAATCATAGCCTTCAATAACAAAATACAAAATGTTACCAGTAAAAAAAAAAAGAAATTCCTTGACCCATTGGTCTCAAACTCGGCCGTTTATCTCAGATACGTTTTTATTGAAAGTGAGGCGACCTGCAAAACCTTGAAATTTTAATGAGGAGACTTTTTTGTTGTGAACTTCATAGTGAAGCAAACATTTCGTTTTTTTTTGTGTGTTTGTTGATATCCAATTGTCTGCAGACTAAGCCTCTTGTTTTCCACTTAGAGTAGTTATTCAACAGTTTTACACGGCTTCAGTTGATCTAGCTGTAGATTGTTTCAGATACGAAGCAGTGTCACGAACTAGTAGCGGGGGCCAGTTTGGAGGCGAGGCTGGCGGTGGCGGGGGAGAAGGAGGGGTCAGTCACTCTTCCTTGCGACACTTCCAACTCTTTTGATGACAACTTCAAGTGGATGCGCAGTTCAGACTCTGAGGGAGTCATATTTGAACCCATCTTCATCCCAGGCAGCCAACGGAACGATAAGTTGTACAGGGTTGGCTCTGGGTCCAGTAGTGCTCTGGTGGTGGACAAGGTTTCGAAAGATTCCAGTGGTTTCTACTGCTGCGAACTGTTCCATGGGAGTCCTTACAAGTCTAGCGCGGAGAAAGCGTTTGGAGTGCTGGTGCTTCCCGCTAACTTCCAGCCAATTCTATCCGGCATGCCCTTGGAAGCAGCAGAAGTTGGATCACAAGTCACTCTCACCTGCACTCCCCCCTCGGAAGAGACACGGCTGGGGGACAAAATTGTGCCCACTGTCAAATGGTGAGAGCACTCGTCTAGCAAGAATAATAGCACGGTTTTGTTCACTCAAAATTTTACTCTTTCGCGATAGGGATATTGTACAAATATTATAGGGATATTGTACAGGGATACTTTCTTATCTTCTAGGTCTCTTCTAGTTCCTTTTTTCCAGGCAAGTGCCGTCCACTGTTCCTCAGCCAGAAGATGGGGCGACAGAGTTCACTTTCAGTGTGAAGGAGGCTTTGAATGGAGCCCAATTCCGGTGTCTGTTCGACTACCCCCAAATTAGAGAGTTCCCCTCCGAGCAGAAAACTCTGGGGGTTAAGTTTGCGGCTCGATTCCTGGAAGCAGAATCGACAGACAACAGGGACCCTGTGGCAGTGGAATTGACTGGCTCCACTACCATCAGTTGTGCCTTCGAGGCAAACCCCCCTGTGGAGCCCGAGACAGCCTTGTTCCAGTGGAAGAGAACTCTGGTGGAGTCACCGCAGACAGGGATGGGTGGGGAGGATGATGGGGATGGAGTGAGTGGTGGGGCTCAGTGTGACATGAAGAGAAAAGAGGGGGTGCGTGAGGAGAAAGTGGTACCGGATGAGGACACTGAGTTGGTCCCCACCAGCAGAATGGGCGAGGGAGGAGTGGGGGCGGGGCAGAAGACTGTGACAGTGTTCTCCCTCACCATCAAGAACTTCGACTCTGACAAGGAGGGATGCTACACCTGCTCCCTCTCCCTCCCCAACTCTGAGAACACACTCAGCAGGAGCTTCAACCTAATAGGCAAGTCATCATCTCACTCATTCACACACTGAACATTCGTTTGATCAGCACAGAGTGATGGTCAGACAAGGCCAAATAGCTCATTCTAACCATCTGGGAATGAGAGAGAGAGAGAGAGAGAGAGAGAGAGAGAAATAAAGTTGGGCTGATCTGAAACTGATATTTTTATGCGCGTGCCAGTTCTTAATGAATTCTTTAGAGGCGTGTGTGGTTGAATAAGAGGGTTTTTAGCAGCCAGTACACTTTGCCCCAATCCGTTCATTCTAACTGGAGTAGGGTGTGTTTCAGAGAAGACAGGTCAGTTTATGTCTTTTAGTATGCAATCTAACCCCCCCCCCCCCTCCATGTGACCTCTGATCTGTTCACCCGCTATTCGCACAATTGTTGTCAACTAGACCACACTATGCTTCATATAACCTCTTCTGTTCTCTCTTTTGTCCCACCACTCACCATTATCAGTCAAGTTCTGAGCTGCAATGAAAGAATGTGTCAAAGCAATTCAGTGCAGGCAAATTGGTTTGAGTCACTGCCAGTAACAATCATTTAAGCTGAGCAAAACGAAACTCAAAAAATTTTGAAAAGTGATGACTTTTTCCTTCAGACCCGAAATTTTTTAAGCCGAAGTTTTTCATATTTGCTTCAAAACGTGTCTTTCTTTTTTTTGCTGGTCATTAATCTTACCATATAATTGATACCTTTTCAACAACTACGAACAAAAATAAAAATTTCTACCAAATTGAAATTATTCAGTTTATGTTTCTGTCGATCAACTTAGTATTTTGAACAAAAATTATTAATTTTTCTGAATGGCATATTTCGAACGGGAGCTTTGATTTTTTGGGTGGCGATAGTTCGTTTAGCCTATTGGTGGAGTGTTTACGTGGCCCAATTATTTTGTTAACAGCATTCGTATATCGAAATTTCGAACCGTATCTAGTCCGAAGTTTATGCGGTTGGCTCGGTTACCGACACTACTAGATTCAAATTCAGCACATTTTGCAATCAAGTTTCTGTTTCTGTGCATTTATTTACTGGTTTTCGTTTTTTTAGAAGTTTACCGACCTAGCATTTGAGTTTAACGGGCAAGCATTTAAATTGCTACGTTCGTATTGGAACTAGGAATTTTGGCGTAAAGTTAGTTCTTTTGGGTAAATGAGAAGTATTGTTTAGATAAGGATTGCTCTGATGAACTTTTTTGTTGTAATTGTTCCGATTTTTGTAACGAAGGTAATGGAATATTTGTGCTAGGGGTGGGTTCTGACAAATTTCGGAGATTTAACATGTCTTAGAATTCGTTCCAAATTGGGTGAAAGAAGCTTATTTGCCATAACTGGTTTGTTACTAGAAGCAAAATCTATCACTTTATAAATTATAGGGCGTGTGGGGGGATACATTTCACGAAACGTTTTTTTTTTCAAGTTACTACTGCTTCCATAGACTTTAAAAGGCAATCGGAACATTTAGGGCTTTGCCCTAATACGAGCAGTCTTGTGATCATTATAAAGTTTAAACTATTAGCTTCTGTCCCGCGTTTCTTTTCAAATTGCAAAAACTACTTCAAAAACAAGTTCTATCATTTAATACAAATTTGACTGTTGCCATACGGGGGTGTTATGCACTAAATGATCAAAATTCAGTGTTTCTTCATCATCTTGAACTATGATTATATTGGTTGAACCTGGACGGCTTCTTGGTCAATCAAACTCGAACTAAATGCTCAGGTACTTCAATTTAAACTTCAAGCCATTAAAATTGTCAGCCAGTTTGACCAAAAAAGTAGAATTTTTGTTATACTGAAGCCATTCCACTGATCTTTTTCGATTAGTATGTTCACCTGGCGGAAATATTCATTGAAAAACTTGACCGTGTTGCTTGAATTTGATTGGTTATAGTTATTTCATCAATTTAGCATCAATTTCAAATCAAGAGGCATATTTAGTTATTTTTGGCTGTTAAGTGACTCATATACGTCATCTGTTCTCAAATTTGCATAAAAGTTGGATAATCTGGAAAAAATTCTGTCTTTTTTGAAACATATCAGTCAGTCAAGCTCAGTTATTTTTATGCTGTCTGCTGATTCCTTGGACATTTTATAGCTAGTGATGGTTTGATGTTTTTGAGGAAAAACCGGTTCAAATTTAAATTTTTGTGGTTTCATTTTTGCGTTTTTTGTAATTGAAATTCATTGTTTCCCTAGAATCAAGACAAATTCCGCAATCTAACAGGAAAGAGTCAAATAAAAGGTGATCGTTTTCTAGTTTCGAAATAGTTGTCAGATTTCACTGCGATTGTCATCCGGTACGGATCGATAAACTTATTATCGTTGTTATTTTTTAATTTGATTAACATATTTATTTATATATTACTTGGTCAGTTGACCTTGATACGGCTGCATGCCGACTATAGTCCATGAGCAAGTCTCAGACGATAATTTATGTTTCTTAACAACAGCTAATTTATTCAAATTCATATAAAGACTACGTTTATCAATCCGTTCGGATTCATTATACTCACCCTCATACGTTGAGGTATGACATGGCGCAGTCGGCAGGATACTCAAAAAACCCGCTGAATATCAACCCATTCTGGGAGAAAGCCTCAAGCGAGCAACCACTGGAATGGTCGAAGTTGGCAGCGATATTTGAGATGACATTATTTGCCAAAGATGGGGTCGTAAGAAATCTTCAAAGAAATATACCTCCACTCGTCGAGCCCACAGAACGATGTATGAGGTCGAAATAAATGAAGAAACAGACGCTCAGAGGAAAAATCGGGAGGTTCGCAATCAAGAAAAGAGAGTTGATTGGGAAAACCACGTGATGAAAGCCCGAGAAAAGGGAGTCCTATGCAATTCATTCCGATGGGATGAAGCAGACGCTAAAGTAAGAATTTACATTTTCCGTTGCCTGGGAGCCGAGGGCCACCGCCAATTTCAGCATAACGCCCGGGTCTTGTACTACACGCGGTGACAACAAGAGAGCTAATTACGACACTAGAAGACATATTCTTAACAACTAGAGTTGTCGCGTTCAAAAGACACAACTTTATCTGCAGAAAACAGAAGAAAACGGAAAGCCTGGAACAATTTCACGCTGATCTGGTCGAGGTGGCTTCCAGAGCCGATTGCGGGGACAGAGAGGACGAGTAGGTGCGAGACATGTTTACGGCACACATGCACAAGGAAAAGATAGCCGAAGAGTTACTCGCACAAACAAGAACCCTACAAGAGGCGTATGAGTATGCTATACGCAGAGAAAAGGGGATCGACATAGCCGCCCAATGAAAACCAATCCGTTGGGAAATCAGATAACAGCTACAAAACAGGAACCAATACACTATTTCACCACACGGGGACGAGGTAATTTTGCAAACAATCAGATACCTCAAAGAAGGCGCGGAAATTTTCGGGGACGCGCATAACCTCGAGGTCAACAAAATGCACGAGGTCAGTCCCAACAGCAAAGAAACCAATATTCTAACACTCAAAAGCAATTCTACAAACGTGGTAACCAATTCGGACAAGACCACTCAAAATCATGTCCCGCGAAGGATGAAATTTGTTCTAAATTCGCCAAACGGGCCCATTTTGCCAAAGTGTGTCGCTCAAGAACTGTTAACTATCTGGGAGACCGTAACAACGAAGAGGAACAAGATGAAACCGAATCAGAGAGTCAAGGAACCGAACTCGACCCAGTCGCGTTTGCTGATTTTACGTCAAAAATGGTTGGGAGGAGTATCACGTCGACAATTTTTCAGTGATTTCAATATCAGAAGCATTTTGTTAAAGCACGCAATAAATTTGTCCGAGGAGGATTTAAACGGACACATCATTAAGCTGAAGACAAAACCAGAAGACTTACTTGCAATCGCTGACTCCAGAAGCCCAATGTCGTTTTTAAACGGAAAAACCGCCCAGCAGTTACAAGGAAATAAAAAAACCGTAACACTGAAACAAATTCCACCGGAAGATACGGCTCGGAACTTAGCATGCTACATTGTCGAAACAATTGTTGCAAAAGGAAGACTGATAGTGGCAATTGAATCAGGAGGCTAGAAAATAAGAGCTGCTCCATTCATCGTAGATAACCAAAAAGCAAACAACATAGGCAGGAACATCCTCGTTCAAATTGGAATAAAACTAGTACAAGAAAACCCGAAACAAAAGGACGTGCTGAATATACGTGAACAAGAACAACCAAACCCAGAAATCAAACAATGGGTAAAAGATAACTATCCACAACTATGCAAAGTCAAAGGGCACGTAATGCGGACCCAATTCAATAAAAGATTTAATCCGATACAGCAGAAAGGACGCCGTGTCCCGGTTCATCTACAAGAACGAGTAGACAAAGAACTCAAAAAACTCATGGAGCAAAAACACATAATAAAACTGGATAAATGTTCCGATCGACAATTCATTAGTCCAATCGTGATTACAGTAAGAAAAGACCAGACGGTAAAATTGGCGTTAAACTCAAAAAAGATAAATAATTTTATTTTCAAGATTGAATATCAAATGCCCATCGATCTACTAATAGACAACAAAGCACAGGGATTAAATCGAACAACAATCAGCAAACTCTATTCTCAACACTGGGTTTGCGCTACGCGTATTCACAAATCCCGTTAGACAAACCAACTCGGGAACAATGCAATTTCAATTTAATTGGTGGCAACGCTACAGGAACCTACCATTTCCAAACGGGATATTACAGCCTCATGGTTATGCCGGCTAAATTTCAAAAAGCCATCGATCTCACACTTACAAACTGTTCAAACACCTACGCATATTTAGACGACATATTGATTGTGGTCAATCGATATACACAAACGAAAACTACAAACGATTCTGGAAAAATTAGATGGTGAAAATCTCGTCATATTGTTGGACAAATGTAAGTTTGCTTGTAAACAAGATGAGTGGCTAGGGTAATTTATAAATAGCGAGGGCACTACACTTTGATAAGAAAAACAGAATCAATTAAGAAGCTCTACCCTCC